CCATGAGGTCATGTAATTTCCAACTCCTGCCATAGCCACCTTACGCCTTCTTGCCTAATGAGCTTGCAAAGGGTGAGGCTGGGGGAGGGAGAAGAGAAAGACTAGAGGGTAGACTGTGGTCCAGCAGTGTGGGCTCGGAAGCCCAGAGTTCCTACCCTGGGTCCCAGTTTTCCTAATTGAGTGACCTTTGCAAGACACATTCCCTCTCCGGCCTCCATTTCCTCATCTGTAAAATGGGGGTCATAAAGTGACTTCCTCATAAGGCAGTTGTGTTAAGTGTTGGTTCTGACTGATAGCGACCCTGTATAGGGTTTCCGAGGAGCAGCTGGTGAGCTTGAGGCACCGACTTTGTGGCTCAAACAGACCTCGTACTCTAGCGCTTTATCCCACAGTACCACACCAGGACTCCCATAAAGGGGTTGTTGTTGTTGTTGTCAATTAATGGAGAGAATGTGTGTTTGGTGGGAACAGCAGGTCTGACAGATAGTGAGTGAGCACTTTGTAACCACCACTACTTCCCACCCTCGACAAGGAGTCTGATGTGGGGTTCCCTCTCTAAATTCGCTCTTCTGTCACTTCCTTCTCAGATGGCTAAGATATCACCAGCACTCACAGAAGCGGCAGGAGGAACACAAGACCCTCCTTGGGTGTGGGGACTGTCTTTCTCTCCTTAGCAACCTCCCTCCCATCCCCTTCTGAAATGGACCACAGGTTCAGTTTGAACTTTGAGGTCGACAGTTCAAACCCACTAGCTGCTCCTTGGAAACCCTATACAGGGTCACTATGAGTCAGAACCTTCTCGATGACACTTAACAATGATAACAACTATTAGGCCACACTGAGCCGCTCACCCCCAGGCCCAGTACTCCCTTGCATTGGCCCGGCCCCCCGGCCCCTTCCTTTTCCCTCCCTCATCTTCCTACTATTGCTTTCCTCTGTTGGAAGCAACTTCTGCCTAGAACCCTTGATCCCACTGAGGCCCTGGGTGTCAGCAGTACCTCTCTGTACTCACCGATTCTGGGAGCTCTTTGGGGCCAGAGATCAAGAATATTCAACTTTATTTGTCCTGAGTGGCCATAAGCCCTGGTTGACTGGGACAATCTAGGTTTATACCTATGTCCCCCAGCAAATTAGTAACACTACCTCCTTTCACTCTCAAAAGTGTCTGCATTTGGAGGATAACTAGTTAGGATAACACACATAGATGAGTGTTTGTTGAGTGAGTGATTGAGGGTGGAGTGTGAAGGACCGAATGGATGGGGAGACTGAGGGCTGCGCCCCCAGTGGTGAGTTCTCATTCTTATTCTAGGGACTCCAGGGCCTCAACTGCCCACACACATGGAGGACTTATGAATGTCCATGAAAGGCGTACCCCTCACACTTTCCTGGGGGGCTGGGTCTAAGGACAGAGATAAACAAGAGCCAGGGGAAAAGGGTAGAACAGGCAAAGTAAGGTCCCAAGGTTGTTTGCAGCATTTGCCCTGTGCCAGGGCAAGAAGAGTATAGATGTTGTTGTTGTTGTTAGGTGCCATCGAGTCAGTACCGACTCCTAGCGACCCTATGCACAACAGAACAAAACACTGCCTAGTCCTAAGCCAACCTCACAATTGTTGCCATGCTTGAGCTCACTGATGCTGCCACTGTACCAAACCATCTCGCCTGGGGTCTTCCTCTTTCTCTCTGACCCTCCACCTTACCAAACATGATATTCCTCTCCAGTGACTGGTCCCTCCTGACAATATGTCCAAAGTATGAAAGATGAAGTTTGGCCATCCTGACCTCCAAGGAGCACTCTGGCTGCATTTCTTCCAACACAGATCTGTTTGTTCTTTTGGCAGCCCATGGCACTTTCAATATTCTCCTCCAACTCCATAACTCAAATGCATCAGTTTTTCTACGGTCTTCCTTATTCACTGTCCAGCTTTCACATGCATATGAGGTTATTGAAAATACCATGGCTTGGGTCAGGTGTCCTCAAGCTGACATCTTTGCTCTTCAATATTTTTAAAGGTCTTGTGCAGCAGATTTGTCTAATGCAATCAGTCATTTGATTTCTTGACTGCTGCTTCTGTGAGCATTGATGGTAGATCTAAGAAGAATGAAGTCCTTGACAACTTCAATCTTTTCTCCATTGATAAGAATGTTGTTTATTGGTCCAGTGCTGAGGAATCTTGTTTTCTGTGCACTGAGATGCAATCCATACCCACGGTTGTGCTCTTTGATATTCCTCAATAAGTATTTTAAGTCCTCTCTACTCTGGTAGCGTAGTGGTTACGAATCGGGCTGCGAACCTTAAGGTCAGCGGTTCGAAACTACCAGCTGCTCTGCGGGAGAAAGATGAGGCTTTCTACTCCCGTAAAGATTTACACCCTCGGAAACCCTGTACAGGGTCGCTATGGGTCGGAACCGACTCGACGGCACTTAACAACAACAACAACATACAGGTTGAATAAGTATGGTGAAAGAATACAACCCTGTAGCACACCTTTCTTTATTTTAAACCATTCAGTGTTCCCATGTTCTGTTTGAACAACTGCCTCTTGGTCCAAGTACAGATTCCTCATGAGCACAATTAAGTGTTCCGGAATACTCATACTTTACAATGTTGTCCATAGCTTGTCATGATCCACACAATTGAAAGCCTTTGCATCGTCAATAAAGCAGAGGTAAACACCTTTCTGGTATTCTGTGCTTTCAGCCAAGATCCATGAGACATCAGCTATGATATCCCTCATTCCACATCCTCTTCTGAATCCGGCTTGAACCTCTGGAAGTTCTCTGTCAGTGTATGTTTGCAGTAAAGATAGACAGTTTGAAAGGTGGTTTTGGATCCTAAGTCCAAGGCCACGGCTGTCAACATCTCTCCTAAAACCTGAACCCTGAGGGGTGGCCAGTAGAGGCTATGGTCTAATTCACACAGGATACCTCTCTTCTCCCAGGTATCATATTTCTATTAATGTAGTCTGGGATTGCATTAGCTTTCTGGCAACAGCCCCACCAAGTCTGAAGCCCCCTGAACTTGCTCTTTTTTTCCCCACAGGCTGCCATCTTGAATATGTACTTGTTTACTTGGACTGAAATAAAATGTTATTTCTGGAACTAGAGAATGCCCCATGACGGAGAATATATAAGCCATGACTGGAACATCAGTTGGTACAGGTGTCTGTTGGAAATGAGCCTTGGTTCCCTTCCCAAACTGAGTCCATGACTTTGTGAATACCAACACTTAGGAGACTTGCCATGGGGTGCTAGAAAATGGAGTGGAAAATCAGTAAGCACAAGGCCATGGTAAAAGCCCTGTGTTGGGAGGCTGGAGACTGGGCTGACCAGGGTGACCTTGGGCCGATTCTTCCTGCTCCTAAGACGTAGAGTGTCTGAGTTTGATGCTCTTCTAGTAATTGTTCCATTATTCTCCCAAGTTTTCTCACTGTTGTGAGGCAGGTTCTATGTAATCCCCAGGCACAGACAAGGAACTTGAAGTGAGGTGAGGTAAACACATTTGCCTAAAGCCCGGATCTGGTTTGCATGTTCATCACAGCGCTACCAATGCCAGAGAACTCAGGTGACCCCTTCTCACCCACAAAATCAGGGGTACTCATTCTCCTTCTCCAAGCCAAAAGATGACTGTTGCCATCGATGTTGGCTGACCCAATTAACAAGGTACATATGAGCTTCCTTGTGTTTATTTACTAATCTTTAGTGAACAATTTCACATTTTTTTCACCACAGCACAGTTCCTGCTTTGAGGTATGACTGGCATCTCTCTCTCACCCCACAGCACCTGCTTACAGAATCAAAGTCTCTTCTCAAATGTGCAGTCCCTGAGAGGGGCACATTACCCAGTAATCAAGGTAAAACAGGCCTACTTGTGTTACTTACTAATCTTTCGTGAATAGTTCCACATGCTTTTCACTAAATCTTTGTTCACTACAAGGAGCCCTCCCTGTAGCACAGTGAGTTAAGTGTTAGGCTGCTAACCATAATAAGGTCAATGGTTCAAACCCACCAGCTGCTCCTCAGGAGAAAGATGAGGATGACTGCTCCTTGGAAAACCTAAGGAACAATTCTCCTCCGTCTTACAAGACCCTATAGGGTCACCATGAGTCCACTCAATGACAATAGGCGTTGTTTTATTTTGTTTTTGGTTGTTCACTTGTTGGTGGTGGTGCCATCGAGTTGGTTCCAACTAACAGGACCTTGTAAGGGTTTCCAAGGTGGGTTTGAATCACCAACCTTGTGGTTAGTAGTCCAATGCTTATCCTACAGTGCCACAGCAGGACTCCTTCTTGTTGTTGTTAAGTGCTGTGGAGTTGATTCCAACCACAACCCATAGCAACCCTGTATAGGGTTTCCATGGAATAGCTGGTGAGCTTGAACCACCGACCTTGCAGTTCAAACAATTTTGCAGTCTGACGCATTAACCCACAGCACCACACCAGGACTCTTTACAGTGTAGTAACTAAGCACAAGTAAGCCAGAGCATACCTTGCTTACTGGGTAATGCACCCCTGGTTGCCAAGGCCTCCTGGCCCATTCCTGGTCCCACACATTGCTCCATCAGCCACCCCCATAGCCATTGACTGCTCAGTATTTGCAGGGAAAAGGCATCAGCAGACAAGGGAATTGGGGTCACTCAGAGCTGGCTGGTGATGGAGATAGAATTCGGGTCTCTTGAGGAAGCCGTATCAAGGAAGGAACAGGGCTTCCTGGCAAGAATGATGGCAGGGAGGCATCCTAATAAACTCACTGGTGAGTTTTCCCCACAACTGTTTCACAGGGAAAGGGATTGTGCACACTTCACCATTTTCCAACCCTGATTCCACTGTGTTCCTGTTGGGGGCCGGGGCTGTGGGGCAGCGTCTCCTCCCTGCCCTCCGTTCCCGAGCTGCTGGCTGGGGCGATGCTGCCAGGCAGGTTCCCCCCAGAGCCAGGTGTGGAGGCAGAGGTGGGGATGGCACGGACATGCCTCAGGTGGGCCTGCGGGGGAGGGCGGGACTCACTCGGGTAGCGATAGTAGAAGTCATTCTCAAGGTCGCTGGTGATGTGCCTGTACTTCTTTTCCTCCGTCCAGTGGGGGTCAGCCTCGAAGTCGTAGCGCACAAACAGGCTGAAGAGGACCACCATGGCCAACTCCAGGAGCAAGCAGGTGAACGGCAGTCGCCAGCGGAGGTTGGTGTTCCACATCATGCTGCAAGGATGGCCTGGCCAGGCGGGGAGCGGGCGGCTGGGCAGCTGCGGGCACTGCAGGGGCTTATAAGAGGCGGCCAGGAGGCGGGGCGGCTAGCTCCGGCTGCGGAACTGTTGATCCGCATGCAGCGGCGCGCGCTCCGCCAACCCCTCGGGGGTGGTGGCCTGACTCACCCCATCTGGGTCCAGCGGGAGCCGGCGGCCCGGAGCTCTCCGCGCTGGGTAAGGGACAACGTGGGAGGACACGACAGAGGACGGCGGGATTTGGCTAAGGCGCCCCAATCTCTGCGGATCCCGTCCATACCTGGCACCCCTGCTTTTCCCGCTTTTATTCTGGTAAACAGAGAAACACATTGTCTGCCACAAAGATAAAGAGGAAGGAAGTCCTCTTTTTTGGAAAAACTTTCTTTCTTTAAACAATCCTTTCTCTTTCTGATTACAATATTAGTATGTTGTTAACAGCCGTCGGAGTTGACTCCTAGCCACCCTGTACAGGGTTTCTGAGGCTATAAATCTCTGCGGTGCAGAAAGCCCCATCTTTCTCCTGCTGAGCGACTGGTGGACTTGAACCGCCGACCTTGTGGTTCACAGTCCAGTGTTTATCTAAAGAGCTACCTTGCTATCAAAATTAGTACAGGGGACATGAAAAACAAGGACCAACAAAAAAATTCACAGGCCAGAAGGAGACTGAGGAGACATGACAGCTAATTGCAGGGCGGTAACACCCTTGGAAACCCTGTACAGGGTCGCTATGGGTCGGAACCGACTCGACGGCACTTAACAACAACAACAACAACAACAACAACAACCCTGGATATTGAAGGAGCTCTGATAGCGTAGTGGTTACGAATAGGGCTGCGATTCTTAGGATCTGCAGTTCGAAACTCCAGCTGTTCCGCAGGAGAAAGAAGAGTCTTTCTGCTCCCGTAAAGATTTACAGCCTCAGAAACCCTGTCGCTATGAGTTGGAATCGACTCCGTGGCACATAACCAACCAACCCTGCATATTAGACTCTGGAACAGAAAGAGGACTTGGGTGGAAAAATTGGAACAGTCCCAAACCCATGGCCATCAGTGGATTCCAACTCCCCACACCCTTTAAAACAGACTAGGACAACTTTAAGATTGAAACTCAAAGGAAACACACAAACAAGCATGTAAGCTTGCTGATGACCACATTGGTCTACTGGTGAGTGGAAGAGGGGGAAAAGGCAGCAATGAAGAAATGGGCTGAGTTCAACCACATTCCATAGACTCCCATTGACCTGGAGATAAGAGAGTAAGAAGAAGGGCTGGTTGGTCCAAAGTGTGGTGAGACCTGGTGATCCCTGAGCCTATGGACAAGGACATAGCCACAGAGGGCTAGAGCTGAGAGTGAAGCATCCAGCTGATATGAAGGGAGGGGAGATGCACAAGAACACCCAGACTTGCAGACAGTACACATTTGACCTAGCCTCGATGGCTTGATAATCAGAACTTGACTTTTTGTTGTTAAGTGCTATTGAGTCAGTTCTGACCCATAGCGACCCTGTATAGGGTTTCTGAGGAGCAGCTGGTGAGCTTGAACTGCCAGCCTTGCAGTTCAAATGGCTTCGCAGTCTGGCACATTAACCCACAGCACCACACCAGAACTCGACTAAAGGAAGATAAAAAAGAAAACAATTTTTGATAAAGGAAATGAGGATAAATTGCTACAATTTGATGAACTTGACCTATACTCATGGAGATAGTAGCTCAAAATACCAACAGGGAAGGAGTCCTCACATCAAGTATCAATGCTATCCCTTCTGTACACAGGGTAGGTAGGGACAGGCAACTTAGATGTTGGTTACCTAAAATGAGGAGGCAATAAAGGCACTAAGTGACTGGCTTACAAGGTTTCAAGAGGAAGTTAAGTTTAAGAATGTGTGGGGGAAGAAAGAGTCCTCACTGAATAGTTTTCATCTTGTCTAGATGGGTCTGATAAAGAGAGATGGGGATAAGATTCTTAGGATTCAATAGTGAATAATTGTTATCATGACTAATTGTGGCTGTCAAATTGTAAAGGTAGAAGTTATGTAACAAAAATGGGGTTGTAGTTAATCTTACAGTCCAGAAACA